GTCAACTCCGGCAACCGCGAACAAAACTTGAAAACCCTAGAAACCCTAGATGTTGGCGGCTGGATTAGGGTTCCTGGACCAGAGTGCTCTGGTACCAACTTGAATATGAATAATTTCTTATTATTGAATCTGAATAGGTACAATAAAATAAATAGGCATAAAACATAATCAATCCCTAAAGTTTAGGGATTTAGATAAAACTGACTAAGGAAACTAAACTAGAAAATAGGAGAAGATAAACTAGTATATCTAAACTATATCTTATACAATTATCTTAACATTGACAAATGGGAAAGAACCATAAAATATGGAGTTCTTGCTAATATTAGTCATATACTTTCCTTTATTACAGCTTCTGCTAGACTGCTACTGCAAGTACATAAAATTTCCATCAACAATTTATTCTTGCTGCGTTGAATGTTCAAAACCAAATGTGCACGAATACGTTTCTTAATGAGAAAATTTGTACATCAATGTTTATATCCATGTATTTAACTCAGCATCATGGTTTACCTCCAAAAAAGGATCAGTAGTAATGACAAATACCAAAACATTTGGGATCCAATTAATTTCTGTTAAGTCAGTAAACATGTCATTGACGACTACTTATTCTGGGCTATGGTCATTTTATATAAACATGTCAAATCCTTTATTACCTTTTGGTCGGCTAATGATTGCAGACAATCATTTGAGAGCATCATGCTTTCAGTGCACCGTGCTTTCTTGTTATTAATTTTGGAAATTATATTCAACCAAAAACAAGAGTTGAATATCAATATTGGAATATGTCAAAAGGTTTTGGACAATTATCAAAAATGCCCAAAACAAAAAGATATTTATCTAAATTCATAATAACTTATTACTGATCAAGACAATAAATAGATCTAATGCTCCATCTGGTATTTGAATAACAAATTGTATGATTCAAAAATCTCCCTGTCAAGTATCATCCAAATATGTAGCCCGTTTATGTTTGTAAATATGATGCCTTTACAACAGACTTCTGTTCTGCTAACCCATCTACTTACCCAGAAACCAGTGGTACGTTTAAGATTAAAATCAAACCAAATTTGTGGCAATCACTATGAAACAAGGAAGTTACGTCACACTTTTGAATGTTGAAAATGCATAGAAATTGTTAAACACGTCTACTGTCTGGAGACCCTCCAAAATGGAATCAAGGGTTAATAAACAGTAACTTTTCTGTTACTTGCAGTTCAAGAATTATATATTTGTTAATTGGAGGAATAACTAATTTTGAACTGGTAGGCATCTAAGCAAGCATCTAGTTTTGATGAAAGTTTCGGCAACAAAATAATATATTATAAGAAATGAAGCATATTACTCATCAGAAATAAAAATTACAAACAAGCATGCCTAAAACTTGGAAGGAAAATGGAGTAATGGCAATAATACAGAACGACTCACTGGCACATTGCATTTTTCAAGAACATCACTGATAACTTGAAGGGACCTCCCAACATGGCCGCTTGAAAATCTTTGCAAAGATGATACGTGTCTCGTGAATTTTATCCTATGTGCTTTATACGAAGGTAGCAACTTTCTGCGATGCTCACTGCCCCTTTCTCCATCAATCACCTGCTCAAAATTCAATCATTCAGTGCCTAAGAGACCTGCTCAAAACTCAATCATTTCAGTGCCTAAGGGAGTTAGAGATATTACAGCAATGACAGGGTCGGTGTGGCTGACTTGGGAGAGAAACAGAGAGAGCCATCGCCCCAAAGAGTGCAAGCTGGGCTTGCTTCCTTCGTAACAGAGCGGGTTAACGTCTAAGAAGAACACTCTCTTATTCTTCTTCTTCTTCTTTTCGGGGAGAGGTTGCGCACCACGTGTTTGATCAAATGACCCACTGAACAAGGCCTTCTCTGTCTTATTGGGAGTGGGTAAGGTTAGTGCAGTTGCGGTCTTTTGGGTTTTGCAGGATGCGGAAAAGGCTGGGTTGCACTTGCAAGGGAAGCGGGGCTGAACGTAAGCGCCGGCGAACACGCTCATTTCTAGTGTTGTCATCTTCTCTATAGTGTTATGGACATGGTTACCGTCGCGTCGCTAGCCTCTTGCGATATGCAATGTCTAAAAAGGATTAATTTTCTTTTTAATAAAGGCTAGAGTGGGGTTTCGTCACTTTTACGAGCGAGTATGAGGTATTGGGATGTTTGTTTTCCATCATCTTCTTTTATTTATTTGGAAATATGAATATGATGATACTTATTTTTATATTAGATAGAATCATATAATAATATTTTTTAGTATTTTTTTTTATTTTGGAGGAAGTTATATTTTGATGAGTACGAGAGTTTTATTCTTGTGATGGAGGAAGTTAATTTTTATAACTCTTGTAACTTTTATTTTCATTTAAATTATTTTAAATTTTAGTAAATATTCCTAAGAATATTAAAATACTCCAAACATCTTTATTTATATTCACAGAATAACATTTTAAGCTATATTATTCTTAGGAATATGATTCTCAAGAATATATCATTATGTGAAACAAACGTTATAATACTCCATTTTTTTAAAAAGGTTATTATTATTATTATAGAGGAAAAATATTTTATATAGAATATGTATTTATTTATTTAATTATTTTGAGAAAAAGAGAAGTGAGTTGGAGGTGAAGGAAGATGGGGTGGGTTGACCTAACCTAATGAATTATTTTAAGAAATGACTTAGGCAGAGTTAACCATATTTGTCTCATTTGCATTCTGAATGTAGGAAAGAAAGAGAGGAGAAACAAAGAGTTCTAAGAAAGACGGTTCAGGTGCTCAGAAACAATCTCAGATTGTTTCAGGATTTTTCTATTTAACGCAACCGGGAAAAAGAGATTATTTATATGCAAAGTCACATGAGAGAATTGGGTAGAGGAGGAATCCCGTATGATTATGGGTAATTTTATAATTATTTTGTTTGAAGAATGGATGATCCCATTAAATTTTGCATGTATTGAGGAGTACGAATATGCAAACAATTTGTGAAAATGATGATTTGAGAGAGAGAACGAAATTGTAGAAAAGTGTCTGTGAGTTAAGTTTTGGAAAAATTGGGAGTTTTACTATTTGAGATAAGATTCTATAAAATTGATTCAATCGGGTTTTATATTGATTTATAATTGTGGTTGCTATGTTATTTGGTAAAATTGATAATCTAGATGATAGTTAGATTCATTGGGACGTGCTCTATAAGTTAGGGTTCTTATACATTGATGAACACCCTTAATTATATGAATTAATGAGTAATTGTGAGATTTTACTTATGGACGTACCTTAGTATTTTTGTAATATCTTTCTGTGTGACTAACCAAATCAATTTTCATTTGTTGGGTTAGAAAGTAAACACTTGGGGGCTATAATTTAGATAGAATCATGTAAAAATGTTAAGAATTGATTGAGTTATATGAGTTATAAGTTCAGTCTCCATTCCAATGCGCGAAATGTTAAGTTTTGTGTTGTTACCCATGCGAGGTGACCTTAAAGACATGTTTAGGCTTCGTATTATTCATAGATGTTGTAGCTTTGGGTGTTAGATTTCTAATGGCTTTGGAATCACTCAAAAAGGATGTCTAAAACTCTAGATATGGTTGTTTTTGTGAATAGTGGTCAAGCTGTCAGCGTAGATTATATCTGATTCGGATTTTGAAATGCTTAGCTAAGTAGATATTTTTTTAGAATTTCATGTCTTCATAAGAGTTGTAGATTATCCTCTTATGCTTCTTTTGAGATAGGTTTAAGCTTAATTGGATGAATATAACTCTCTGTGTGTTTTTTCTTTGACAGTTGTCAAAGGGAGACGTATGTTGTTTTGATGTTCTAAGGTGTTATGGTTTAATTAATGATTCAATTATGATGCTAGTATGTTGGTATGAATTGAATGTGATGTGATTGTGGATATCCTCACACTTATGTCAGCGTGGCATGACCTTGGGTATGAGAAGCTATAGGGGTGGCGTGAGCATGACATAGTGTGGGACGTGTGAGGTAATTAACACGTATGTCAGCATGACACGATCTTGGGCAAGAGATGCTACAGGGGTGACATGAGCATGGCATAGTGTTAATTGCAAGATTTGTGTGTGGCAATTAGTACTTATGTTGGCATGGCACGACCTTGGGCATGAGATGCTACAGGGGTGGTGTGAACTTAACATAGTACAAATTATATGATGTGATGGATTGGTGTGATTGAGAATTGTAATGTAAAGATGATGCATGATTGATAGAATTATGATATGTAGAAATGGTTGTAAATATTTCATTATGTAATGATTTATGATGAGATTACATTATGGTCTGTCTGTATATGCTTTACATATAAATATTTTCTTTTCTCACCATACAATTTGTGGACGTTTTAGGTGAGGAAGATTTGGCAATGAGTGGCATCCAGAATGCCAACAGGTGAGTTGTGGGTGTGCTATGATATTGAAACATCGGGACAAAGGATTTTTAGGACATGGATTTTTATATGTATTTGTAGTACAATCATTGATAATATAACAAGTCAAAATGAATAAGAAGATTCATACCAAGATGACGAGCTTGTAGGACTTCAAATACTACAACATGTTGACCCAAATGTCATTAACGATTCTCTTATGGATGTTAGTGGAGACAGAGAAGAAATAGACAAACAATTACTAAATGAAACAAATTTAGATGTAACAAATGAAGATGAATACAAGTCAAGTGAGAGTGAAACTAGGAGCGATTTTGATGATATAGATTCCTCTTAGGTAATTCATGCATTAAAATAAATTGCATAGATTATTTTTATTATTATTTTTAAACCTTTGCATGATTATGGTTTGTAACAATTATTTGTAGTGAATATGAGAGGGAAGATAATTGACACGTTTTGGTGTAGAAAACATGATCAGGTTTGAGTTTATTGTTAGAGTTAGGTTACTTGTTCACTAAACTTTCACTACCTTATGTTTTTGTTTATTCTTTAATGATATATATATATATATAT